CGAGGGTCTATTGGAAACAGACTCTCTACCTGCACCGGGTAAGGGTAAGGTCTGGAAACACACTACCCTTCCCAAACCCCACTCGTGGGATTACACTGGGTATGTTGTTGTTGTTGTTGGACCTGAACCATTAAAATATGGAATGGCCACTAGCGTATTGTAAAAACACGAATAAATAACTGGAAGTAAATGGCATATCTCACAAAAGCAACTACTACATATTTTATTATGTGGGTCTTAAATAATGCAACTGCAATCAACTAACCCTTGAATCAAACCAATGAAATTATAAACCAACAAAAAGAATGTACGTAGAGATATGTCTTACCAATAGGCATAGGTTTTCCTGTTACATTAGTGAACTTGGGAGAAAATGTACTTTTATCTGATGTCACGACTCCCGTAAAATAACCAAGACTTTCGCCATCTAAACCCATCAATGACCATGAATCTTCATTATCCAACCACTCCAACCTCCCAACACCTACCCCGAACCTACTTTGAACTCCTACACAGTTCAAATAGAAAATTAGTAAACTCAGGTAGGTGGTAGTTCATGTTAATTAGGGAAAAGCATTTCAAAGAATGAAATCCAGCAATATCGATAACATACCAGGCTCCTGGCATAATGATTTACAAATTGAATTCATTCCTGGAAAACCGACATATTTCTTGTCCGAACTTTCCTGAATTAAAATAAGAGTAAGAGAAAGAAGTATTAGTAAAACCTTATTATTATATGCATGTCAACCCTGTGGCTATGTACTATTATTAAATTGCTATGGCCGTAAAGCGCAAAATGTTCTGTAGAGGAAAGGAAACACATTTGCTTTTATCATTTTCAGTAGTGGTTAGAGCCAATACATATCAATGTTCTTTCTTTATCTCAATGATCTTACATTTGATCATTTATTAGGAATTTCCCAAGATAAACTGCTGACAAATCTTGAATAATCCCTTAGTTATGACATGTTTGAAAGTTCAATCCAAGTGAATAAATTGAATAAATGTATAGACCTATAGTCATCCACATGAATAGTCAAAGAGAATCAAATCTTTTTATTTTCAATCTTTTTTATCTTAAATATTGACACAACCTTACCAACCTATCAAACTCATTTAAAAAAAATAGTGAATGTAAAAGAAAAAAAAAATTTAGAAACAACAATTAAACACGAGCTACAAAGAAATAGTCCTCAATGTGTAGAAAATGACAATGGTCAGAGATATTATAGTAGGAATAATACATAAAAAAGGCGGGCAGGGTCCGAGAAGGGTCACATCCCGAGAGTTATGATGTAGGCAACATCCCACATTCATGAAGGGAAGGGAAGGGCCACACCCAAAGGGTACGATGTAGGCAGCATTCTGCGTTCACGCAGGGTTCGGGGAAGGGCCGCATCCCAAGGGTACGATGCAGGCAGCCTACCTTGATGCAAGCATCAACGGAGATATTCTAGTAGGAATAATACATAAAGAAGACTAAATACTAATACTGGAAATTTGTGGAACCTCTTCAATATCAAGAAATTGCTTAGAAGCAAAATCAAAAGTAGCAAATTTTTCTTTCCACTCAGCAACAAGTCCTTTTGATTGCCAGTCACAAATAAGTCTCAGCACATCAGGATTACTGGCAGTGAAATAAGGAGCACCGTGATCAAAATACAGCTCCCTCCCATCTTCAGCCTTTTCCCTAATTAAAGATCAATTTTTTACAAAAAAACCCATTACATCAATTCTTGATTATAGTTAAAACATTTCAATAGGAGCAATTAATGGTAATTAATTATAAAGAAAAGGTATATTACCTTCTTTGAGACATGCGGCCACCTGGGCCTCTAGCAGACTCAAAAAGGGTAACTGAAATTCCATTCTTGGCCAAAGTTGATGCACAAACAGCTCCTGAAACTGAAAAAAGAAACCCATTTTTGTTAGTTTTGTAATCAAATTTTCACAATTTTGGACAAGAATGGAATATCAGTTGTATTTGGTGGCTTACTTCCACTACCAATGACTGCAACTTTGGCAGCAACACTTGTCATGATTATAGCAATAGAGAAGAATTGATTGAAAAAAGTATTGGTCAAATTTGATGTATTGGAATTAAAATAGAGTGATTGAAAAAAGTAGGAGTTGTTATTTATCCACATCCATCTTAGGAAAAAAAGAGTTGTGTCCTTTAAATGCTACCCAACAAAAGTAATGTTTGCTTGTTTGATATTTACGGCTATGGTGGGGTTGTATTAAAATCTTGAACCAAATTCTTTTAAAGATTGCAGCTTTTCATTACTATTAAGTTAGGAGATGGTAATATCAGGCTTCATTCTCTTTTAGTTTTATGAAATCCAAAGACTTCCCTTTTTGTTGTTTTAGAAAATTCCTATTTTCCCCTTCTTGACATGGTGGATTAATATTGGCTTCTAACTATACTACTCCATAATTTAGCAAATAACTAGATTCACTGTCAAATACAGTGCAAACATCTTTGTCTATGATTACTTTGAATTTATAGATATGTTATCCCATAAGAGATAAAAAAAAAAGTATAACTATAATACTTAGGCCAGTTTGTATGCATGTCGATTAATTTTACAGAGTACCACTTATTTTCATCGGAGGCGGACTTATCCTTTGGGTAGGAGGATCAACGTCTCCCGGTAATTTCGGAAAAAATTATATATATATATATATATATATATATATATGATTGACAACCTAAGATTTAAATCATATGCAATTGCATTGGTTGATTTAGGAGGCACAACTTTGACTTTTAGTGTTTCGATTTCGACCTAGCATTTGCTCAAATTTTGGTGCCCCTCCACTTTCACTTAAGTTTGGACAGACGAAAGAAATCACCTACTAATATTTTTATCTTCGTATGAACACAAGAAATATAAAGATCCATATTACATTACAAGGACTAAGCTCACTTGACATTGCTGCAATTAATTGGATTTTCAAAAAGTGGAAAAAGGTGACCTAATGCTAAGAAAGAATAAAGTAGTGAAGGGCTGTTATTATTACTACTACAAAAACAACACTTCACTATAAAAATCAAGTTTTTTCGGAACCAATTTTTATGTTATGTTATAATATATGTTCTCTATAACAGCACTTCACTATAACATGTAAAAATATTCGAAACAAACGAGATTTGAATATACTGTTTAGTAGAAAAGAACATAGGAATAGTCAACTCCCAATATTTTGAATCAAGTTGCCTACTTTTGAAGTTTATAAGCTCAAATTCTTAAGCTGACATAGAATTTCGTTTGTGGTAGGCATATATAACTTGCTCTATATTCTTTAGACTAAACACAACCTGTAATTCTTCTTTATATACTTTTATTATCATGTAATTCTGGCTAATTAATACTCTGCGTATTTTGCAAGATGGTGTGAAATATAATACTAAGATGATAAAATCTTATAATATTTACTCATTTTTATATATACTCTGTGTAAACATAATAGCATCACTTCTCCTAAAAACGTATCAAGCAACAATATTTATCAGGTACACATATATTTTTTTCTCGTATAAACATAATCTTTAATTATGTATTAAAGTTGCACGACCTATAAAAGTGGTTATTTGAATTTCATTTTTGGTTTCATTCTAGGTACAGATGAAAACGATTGGTGTGTGTTTCAAAATTTTGAAAAACAATTTATTCAATGAAAAAGCTTTTAGAGTGAGTGAGTTTTTAATATTTGAAAACACTTTTACCGAATGATATTTAATTACAAATTTTATAAAGCTTTTTTATTTTTTTTAGTTTTACTTTTCAGAAATTTTTTCACTTCTTTTTACACAATTTTAAGTTTGGTGGTTGACCTTGGGTTTTGGGAGTAGGTCAAGGTGTGTCCATGGACCCAGAGACACATGTAGGCGCCATAAAATATCAGCCAGGGCCACGTGTTAGGCTGATATATTTGAATAAAATATCTTATAATTTCTTTTTGTTCCAATTTATGTTAAATCTATTTTTAGTTGTATCAAACCAATATAATCTCACAAGATGAGATTTGGGGAGGGTAGTGTGTACGTTGATCTCACTCTTATCTTATGAAAGTAGAGATTATTTCCGATAGACCTCCATATCGAGAGTGATGTGATTAGGCAGGACATGTGCAACTTAAGCTTACTAAAAACATAACTCTCGATATGAGGATATGGAAGTCGAGAATTAGGTAGAAGGTTAATAGGTAGGCATGCATGTTTATTATTCATGCCGATAGTATTAATATTAGTCTCGCAATTCTGTAATTTTTTATATGCGAATTTCTTTTATTGTATGTGATTTCCTTCGAATTATTATTTCTAAATTTAAAACAAGAATAACAACAATCCAGTAAAATCATACAAGTGGAGTCTGGAGAGGGCAGAATGTACGCAGACCTTACCCTTACCCCGGAGGGGTAAAGAGGCTATTTTCGAGAGACCTTCAGCTCAAGAAAACGAAAATAGACAATAGAATTTGTGACAACAACAAAAAATCATAAAGATAATATAAGCATCGTAGAAAACAAAAAATAAATGAAAAAGCAATAACAACAACTAGTGATAGAGCCACCGTGTTATGAAAACAAAAATTGAGTGGACACAAACTTACACCACTAATAATCCAAGACAACACCCGAACAGGCTAGCCCCACCCCGATAAGAATGGAATTATTCTTTCTAAATTTAAAAATAATATAATTGATACTTTTTATTTTATCTTACTGAGAAATTTTTATAATTAGATAAATAATTATTACATATTTAAAATAATAAATTTTAATTTTTTTATAACTATACAAATATTATATTATGTTTAGTATCATAAATTTCAAAAAAAGAAAAACTTTATGCTCAATTAAATTAAATAAGTTTATTTAAATTAAAAGAATTGAGTAATTTTTTACTGTTAAATTAAAAGATAATATTTCCGGGTCCACTCGGTACTTTTGACTTTTAAGCGCCAAGATTACGTTCTTATTTCACTTTCTTCGTAGCCTCATAAGGGAGGAGACCAGAAATAGTCATTTCTTCATCGTTGTACTGCTATTTCTGCAGCGTGTCTGCAATTATTATTAGTACTATTTTGTATTATTAGTGTGAACAAAAAATATTTCCAAGACTTGATTTAGAATAATATCAAGACTCTATGACTTAGATCCATTATCTTTCCCATTTCTGTTCTTGGTAATTGTTCTTACTATAGTACCAAGCCAACAGAAACCTCAAAAAACATTTGCCAAAAGAACAAAAATTTCACCTGCTTTTGTTTTCTGCTATTTTTGAGGTACTTCTCAATTCTTTGTTCTTTGCTGGTTCTTATTCTTTTTTTTTGGTTTTTCTACTTTCTTACTGTTTTTCTTTTTTGTGTTTTTCATGATCTTGATTCCCCATCTTTATCTATAACATACAACAAATGGCCTAGTTGATGTCACTTTTTTTGTTTTTTTATTGATGTTACTTTGAGATCAAGAACCAAGCTTAAATTAGTTGGTCTTCTCAAAGTTCCAATCTTTTTAAGAATTCCTCTAAATATTTGACTCTGTAGTTCCATTTTTTATAGCATCTGCCCTTCTTTACTGGTTATTGTTATTGTGTTTCATCTATTTCTTGGTGATGGTATTATTATTTTTATGGTTTCTGTTGATGGTAATGATATGTTGTCTCTTTTACTCTTTTTATTTTTCTTAAGCCGAGTTTCTATCAGAAACAACTCTGTGCTCCATAGAACACTACCCTCCCCACACCCACACCTGTATAATTTTACTGGGTTGTTGTTGTTGTAGTTGAATCTTGGTTGCTAATTTTTACCTGTACTTCTTGTTCTTCTTCCTTTTGTCTTTTTTGGATTTTCTGGGGTTGAATTTGAAGTAAGTATTGAGTTGAGAATACCCTTAATGAGCTTTGAAAGTAAGATACTAAATTGATACAGCTCAATTAGATAAACATAAATTATATGTGCTAAATTTGTGTATTTGTATATGCTCTTTTATTTAATTTTTTTCTCAAACAAGCTAATTATTGGATATGAGTGAGGCGACGCCACGATTTGAAGTTTATGGTATTAAATATTTACATGACTGAAGATTAATAATAATAAGCTCCAACAGAATGAGCTGTATTTTTGGCTCAGAAATTGTTTCATTATGCTTCACTGTTTTTTTCTCCTTTTCCTTTGAGTTCCTGTCTTATTGGAACTTAAACATGATACTTTGCTGCCAATATTCATTCTTAGGTGCATTTTCTTTAGCCTTGTCTGCTTCCGTGTTAGAATAGTCCTATGTCGGTTATAGGATGGGGTAATTGGTCTCTTTATATAGTCTTATGCAATCCTCACGTCATGAGCTAGCTTTCGAGGTTTATTTAGGCTCAAAGTCCGTTTCTTGAATATTCCATGCCCCGTCAAGTTGATAAACTGAGTTGAAATTCAATGAAGAAGGAAATAAGAAAACAAATAGTAGCTTTAGAGGAAATAGAGATTGAGGATAGTTTGACATAAGGAGAAGGTTACCTTTAAATGCAAGTCAATAAAAGAATAGTGAAACTAAACTTAAATCACTTAACTCCATCCCGCAGTTTGGACTTTCTTTATATAGTACCTTCTTGTACCCATGTTAACCATGATATGTTATGCTATCCTTTTTATATAGTAGTGCATTTCAATAAACTATGATATGCCAATTTACTGAGCAGTGAGACTTTTCTTTAATTTTGCAGGCTCTGATTTTGGTTTTGGTTTCGGTTTCTTCTGAAGCAGCTTTTGATTGATATCATATACAGAAGGTCACTGTTGCATCCTAAAGTTATGACTTGCTTCCCTTCTTTATTCTGTCGAAAACATCATCCATCAACTAGGCATCCGTCCGAATTTGATGATGGTAAGCACTATTGGTCCGCCATATATATTATTTTTGGATGTTAATTTGTTCAGTATATCGAAAACAATCTAATAAATTGATTCACAACAGAGCTCTCTGGTGTCAAGAACGTTATTCTTTTCTCCTATAAAGAGTTAAGAATTGCCACTGATGATTTTAGTCCTGTCAATAAAATTGGAGAGGGTGGATTTGGTTCTGTTTACAAGGTAATGACGATTTTTTCCCCTTCTGTATTGATATGAATTGGTGGTTCAAATATTATGTCTTTAAGAAGTCTTATACCTTTGGTTTTTTCTATATGATGGTACGAGCAGGGAAGGCTAAGAAGTGGAAAGATGGCTGCTATAAAGGTCCTTTCTAGTGAATCAAAGCAAGGTGTCAAGGAGTTCTTGACAGAAATTAAAGTAATTTCAGACGTTGAGCATGAAAATTTAGTCAAACTCTATGGCTGTTGTATAGAAGATGATCACAGGATATTGATCTACAACTATCTTGAGAATAACAGCCTTGCTCAAACACTTCTCGGTAATTCTTATTTTTTTTTTTTGGGACTTTTAGCAAAATTTTAGATGTTACACCTAGTGTTTTAGACCTTGTTTGAGTTAGTGATTAAGCAAGGATTGTGTGTGTGTGTTCTGTTTGGGNTAGTTCAATTGAGAGCTAAAAGGTCGAGAAGACTAAGGAGTGTTCTGTAATTCACATGATTCAGCATGAAGTTGATGCGAAAATATGGACTTGAACAATCAATGTGTTGTGAGACATAAAACGAGTGAAATGATTCTGTCCTTCTTGCTAGATTTGCGGCAGAGATCCTGCAGTCTATAGGTACTGAATCTTGAAGAACTCCGACGCGTTGTTTCTTGCTCCTTGTTGTTGCTATAGTTTTGCAGTCTTGATAACTATACACAGATTCCTAATGTGCTTTCTCTGAGGCAAACTAGATATGCTGTTAGTCCAATTCCTATCAGCTTTGGATTAGGTTAGATACCCAACAATGTTTCCTCTACTATTTTATAATTTGAATTACACTAAAAACTCCACGATTTCTAGTATCTTGCGCCACTTGAGTGACCATAGCTTCTAGAGGGTTAGATTAAATACTTAAATATAATTCTTCTATATATTTTGCACATAGGTGGAGGTCACAGTAGCATCCAGTTCAGTTGGCGAACACGGACTAAAATCTGCATTGGAGTTGCAAAGGGGCTAGCTTATCTTCATGAGCAAGTGAAGCCACATATAATTCACCGTGATATCAAAGCGAGTAATATTCTCCTTGACAAAGACTTGACACCCAAGATTTCAGATTTTGGCCTGGCAAAGCTCATCCCTCCCAACATGACTCATGTTAGTACACGCGTGGCTGGAACCATGTAAGAATCCTATCTTCAAACTTTGCTGATGTCTCTTCTTACCGTTCTGTTGTCAAGTTCCATCTCGAGTTCGTGCTCAAAAGCATGTCAATAGTAGATTTTTTGAGATCATGGCTGATATGAATAGAGGAATTGCATAGTGTGTTTGTTAATGTCTCATATAACTCCTACTAATAGAAATCAATATTCCTCATATAACTTGATTTCTGGACCTTTGATATGTTCTTAGCTGCTTTACAGAATAGGAAGTTACATTTTATGGTGATACTAGTAGTGACTTGTCAATTGGAGTTATGCAAGTAATTATGTTTTGCGTTTGTGGATGGAATCCCCCGAGAAGAGTTAGAATGGCAGTTTCCGCCCTTTGGGCGGTACCAAATAAATGACTGCATAATATATGGACAATTCACCACTAAAAAAGTATGATCAAATTACTTGTTGTTCAATGTTATCATATTCTGTTGCTTTCTATGGTATAGCACCTTCTGGTTAAGTAATACTACTTCTGTTTCAAATTAGATGAGGTACTTTTCTTTTTAGTCTGTTCCAAAATAAATGACACAATTCTAAATTTGGAAATAATTCAACTTTAAACTTTCATTTTACCCTTAATGAGAAGGTTTTATAACCACACAAATGTCATGGACCCACAAACCTTTTACCCTTAAGCTTTTAAGACCACAAGTTTTACAAGTCTTCTTCTTTTTCTTAAACTCTGTGCCGAGTCAAACTAGCTCATCTAAATTAAAACGGAGGGAGTACCATGTAATCCAGTGTTTCTGCAATCATTATGTTACTTTTGAACCCGCATTTACTTACTCCTTTCTACTAAATACTCTGAGATATAGTATCATACACTAAAATCCACGTCTTTTGACCAGAGGTTATTTGGCACCAGAGTATGCAATTAGAGGCCAAGCGACTCGTAAATCAGATGTTTACAGTTATGGTGTTCTTCTGATAGAAATCGTCACTGGAAGATGCAACACAAATACACGTTTACCAATTGACGAACAATATCTCCTTGAAAGGGTATGACGTCTCAAACAATACATTCATTTTAAAGATTGCGTTATTGCTGCATTTCACTAGATCACACACAAAAAGCGAAATTAATGTGTCCTGATTAATGAGTTCATGCTCTTTAAAACTATACTTTTGGAAGTACATTAAATTTTCTTGTGGCAATGAAATATGAATCACTGAAAGATCAATATAACGACGAAGTACCAATCGAAGAACAATATTGTGTCACGCTTTAAATGACATTCTGAAAGCTATAGTTGACAAGAGTGGATTGCTCTAGTGGTGAGCACCCTCCACTTCCAACCAAGAGGTTGTGAGTTCGAGTCACCCCAAGAGCAAGGTGGGGAGTTCTTGGAGGGAGGGAGCCGAGGGTCTATCGGAAACAGCCTCTCTACCCCAGGGTAGGGGTAAGGTCTGCGTACACACTACCATCCCCAGACCCCACTAGTGGGATTATACTGGGTTGTTATTGTTGTTGTCGTCGTCTGAAAGGCGAAAGCTATAGTTAATCATTTTTGTGTGTGTTACAGACATGGCAAGTCTATGAAAGAAAGGAACTGATATTGCTCGTAGACACGTCTCTGGACGGGGACTTTGATGCTGAACAAGCCTGCAGATTCTTGAAAATTGGGCTTCTCTGCACTCAAGATGCGTTAAAGCTTCGTCCATCCATGTCGACTATTCTCAAGATGCTAACTGGCCAGATTGAGGTCGATGACAATAAGATAACAAAACCAGGCTTGATCTCTGATTTCATGGATCTCAAGGTTAAAACTGCTCCTAAACCTCGCCCTGAACAAATTAACGCGGCATATGATTATGTATTATCCTCAGGATCTCAATATTTAGACAATTCAACTGTGCCATCCACGAGTTCTTCTCAAGCTACCACGACGTTCACAACTGTTGTATATGATCGAAGCATTTGAGCCAGTGGCGGAGCCACCTTATAGGAAGGGTGACACCCCTTCGCAGGAAAAATACACTGTGTAGCTAGTTAAAAAATTATGTATTGACTCCCCTAAATTTCCTGGTATGTTTACTTTTATAAATTTTGACACCTTTTAACGAAAATTCTGGCTTCGCCACTGATTTGAGCAAATATATTCTGCCACCTCAAGATATGGATCTACAAGTGGTGTGAAGGAAAAATTCTGGAGGTAGAGGGAGAAAAATAGTTTGTATTTGGTTGAATATTACTTTCAACTTTTCTTCATTTTTTTGTTTCTGGACTTGGTGTTTTTTGTATCTTGAGTTGATTAGCATCTGTAAATTGTTCACACGTTTTATGTGTAGTTGTTAGAAATAGTGTATGTTGTAAATTTGAGGTTTTGAATTCAAGAGATGTAACTCATTAGCTTGAACTTGGTATAATTAAGTTCCATGTGTATATTTCTGCATTTGAAGGGGTGCTTGGTATAAATGTACGAAGGGGGTGCCAAGTTTTCTTGGAATCAATTTTTATGTTATGTTATAATATATATTTTTTACAGCACTTCACTATAGCAGTTAAAAAATATCGAAACAAACGAGATTGTTATAAAGAGGTTTGATTGTATAAATTGTTGCCGAATAGGCAACACTTGGAACATTAACGCATAAATGCTTTAGGTATCACTTTTAAATATAAAATTAACCACGTTATTATAACTACAATAACAAAAACAATGTTGGACAATCAATCACACCCAAAAAAAAGTATAATACAATATTATCATTATTAATATTTTTTTGAATCAGGCTTTCTAATCCTCATTAAAAGAAATATTTAAATTAATTAATCTTCATAACAATTAGAAAATCAGTTTATAGTTTTACGTCTCAAAAGTTAGAAGAAAACTAAAAATAAAAATATAGTGTATAAATTTTATTAATAATAATTTTATATAAAAATATAGTTTTTATATAATAATTCTACCTCATACCCTATTTTTTCTTTATAATATTGTAAGTTAATTTATTCTTCATATTATTGGTGCATGTCAATCATGAAACGACTACAAACAAATATTAAAGTGTATTTAAGATCATAAATTTCAAACTCAATTAAATAAGTTTATTTAAATTAAAAGAATGAGTAATTTTTAACTTGTTAAATTAAAATATAATATTTACGGGTCCCACTCGGTACTTTTGACTTTTAAGCGCCAAGATTACGTTCTTATTTCACTTTCCTCGTAGCCTCATAAGGGAGGAGACCAGAAATAGTCATTTTTTTCATCCTTATACTGCCATTTCTGCAGTGTGTCTGCAATTATTATTACTATTTTGTATTATTAGTGTGAACAAAAAATATTTCCAAAACTTGATTTAGAATAATATCAAGACTCTATGACTTAGATCCATTATCTTTCCCATTTTTGTTCTTGGTAATTGTTCTTACTATAGTACCAAGCCAACAGAAACCTCAAAAAACATTTGCCAAAAGAACAAAAATTTCACCTGCTTTTGTTTTCTGCTATTTTTGAGGTACTTCTCAATTCTTTGTTCTTTGCTGGTTCTTGTTCTTTTTTTTTGGTTTTTCTACTTTCTTACTGTTTTTTTTTTGTGTTTTTCATGATCTTGATTCCCCACCTTTATCTATAACATACAACAAATGGCCTAGTTGATGTCACTTTTTTTGTTTTTTTATTGATGTTACTTTGAGATCAAGAATCCAAGCTTAAATTAATTGGTCTACTCAAAATTCCAATCTTTTTAAGAATCCCTCTAAATATTTGACTATGTAGCACCGCCCTTCTTTATTGGTTATTGTTATTGTGTTTCATCTATTTCCTGGTGATACTGTTATTATTTCTATGGTTTCTATTGATGGTACTGATATGCTGTCTCTTTTACTCTTTTTGCCGATTTTCTATCAGAAACAACTCTCTAGTCGATAGGACACTACCCTCCTCACACCTCATACCTGTGTAATTTTACTAGATTGTTGTTGTAGTTGAATCTTGGTTGCTAATTCTTGTTCTTCTTCCTTTTGTCTTTTTTGGATTTTCTGGGGTTGAATTTGAAGCAAGTATTGAGTTAAGAATATCCCTTTTTTTGTTTGTAATATTGTAAGTTAATTTATTCTTCATATTATTGGTGCATGTCAATCATGAAATGACTACAAACAATACAATTTATCCAAATGTTATATTTATTAAATAATACTTCCTCTGGTCTACTTTAATTGATTTTTGACCTTTTTTTGTAGTCCACAATATTTATTTTTCAAATATCAAGAAAGAATTAACTTCTTTTCTTCTAAGTTGCCCTTGGAATAAAGAATTTAGGAGTATTTGTTGTATTTTCAATTAACAGATTAAGGTTAAAATGGTCAATGCCATTGTTAATTAATGCTAAAAATTAAATTTCTTAATATATGTAAAAACAAAAAAATAATAATTAAGGTAATTAAAAAAAATATAATACAATATGATACATTATAAAACGACCCGCCGCAACAATTCAAACAAGCTGTTAAGAAATCCAAAGGAAAAAAAGAACAAATAAGGGCATGACAAATATATGAGGTCCTTGGATTCGCTCTTTGTTCAATGTCAGGTCTCTTGAAAGATTCTCTTTTTAATAATACAAAAATACATGTATTGAATGAGCTATTTCTTATTGTCATGCACTGTATATTTTATGTTCTTTCCCCATATATTTATTTATTTATACTTAATTCTTTAAACAATATTGTTATTCCCTTTATAACATAGTAATTATAAAGTTTTATTCCCAACTCGATATGCATAATTAATGTTTAGGCGCATAAGTTATATTTTTTGGGAATATGATATTGTAAGCTGCTTTCAAAATAATAGTCAAATATATATANAAATAATTTCTGGTACGCACTAAAAATAATAGAGTAAATTTCATGGGTGGCCACTCAGCTTTGTGCTCATTACCCCAAACTCATTATTCTTTCTTTTGTTACATAAAAATCATTTTACTTTACTCCACTTTTCACAAAAATAACTTTAATAATTCTTTATAAAAAAACTCACCTAAAATGTGAGAAAATGACAAAAAATAATCCTTGTATTTGGGGTAAATTCAAATTGGGCCCTTAAATATACTCCTTAGCTATTTTGATCTCATAAGGTTGTCAAAAGTGAGCGTTTTTAATTTTCATCGAAGATTTAATAAACTATGCTTATTAAATATACTGAAAACTAAAATTTAATTAACTAGAATTACCAATATAGTTC